GCCCGCCACCATGGCCGGCTAATTTTTTGTATTTTTAGTAGAGACGGGGTTTCACCGCGTTAGCCAGGACGTTCTTGATCTCCTGACCTCGTGACCCACCCGCCTCAGCCTCCCAAAGTGCTGGGATTACAGCCGTGAGTCACTGAGCCCAGGATGCTCTGTTTTTCTTTTTCTTTTTTGAGACAGGGTCTCGCTCTGTCACCCAGGCTGGGGTGCAGTGGTGCAATCACAGATCACTGCAGCCTCCACCTCCCAGGCTCACGCGATCCTCCCACGTCAGCCTCTGGAGTGTCCCCTCCACTTTCTTTCTTAGGGGTCCCTCAGGGACATGTCAGAGGTCGGAGACTACTTGGGGGGCGTCTATGGGACAGGCAGGCTGCCAGCAGCTGAGCTGTCCTTGCCCTGTGGCCCCTCTGCAGTCAGGGAGACACCAGGCATGGGCCTGGCTCGGATGCATCAATCCCTGACGGCAAAGACCTAAACCATGGACAGAAAAGGTGATGCGGCAGCCTCGAGGGGCAAACGCAAGGCCCCCTTAGCTGCCGTCCCACCAAGGGATGCCCATCGTCTCCCTTCGGCTTGGCAACTGCCTGGCGCAGCACAAAGATTCTCTTTAAATCCCCAGCAAACGGAGCCGAGTGGAAATTCCGCCCCACATTTCTAGGCACATGTCTCCTTCCACTCCTCACTACACCCTGCCTAGGCCACGGCTGCCTCCCAGGAATAACGCTGACAGTTCCACGGCCCACACCCCCTTTAGTTAACTTGCTGTGCACACGGCAGCCCAGCCAGAAACACGCAGCCGGGTCGGATATTGGGTGCATTCAGTCGTGAAGCCTGAGGCTTCCTGGCTCCCACTGAGCACAGCGCAGCGTTCTGAAGGACAGGAAGAAGCTGGCCTCACTGCTCTTCTCAGACGGCTGATGGAGAAAAGCACACAGCTGCCTGCGCTGCTCTGCCTGCACTTGCGTCCTCGGCCCCACCCCTTGTGCAGCAGTGAGCCTCCCTGAGACACTGGTGCCTGGGCTTGCTGTACTGTAGGGCTGCTGGACAATGGGCCAGACCCAACCCCAATGCGGATCCAGAGGTCTCTCTCCGTAGCAAGCCATGGAAGCCTGATGGGCACTGTGCTGAGAGCCCGGGTCTGCACCTCTGACCTGGGGCTCTGGCCGTGCGGTTCTGCTGAGCTCACCCAAGAGTCCATGCGTGCACGGCGGAGACCCGAGTCAGCGGCAGGGCTACCCTGTCATGGGCACCCCAACCCCTCATTAGGGGTGTTAATCAGCACAAAGGAGCCAACTGGCTAATCAGTCAGCACACGCTGACAGACGCAGGAAATACGGAGGGCAGGCGGGCTGGGGGCGCACGCTGACAGACACAGGAAATACGGAGGGCAGGCGGGCTGGGGGCGCACGCTGACAGACACAGGAAATACGGAGGGCAGGCGGGCTGGGGGCGCACGCTGACAGACGCAGGAAATACGGAGGGCAGGCGGGCTGGGGGCACACGCTGACAGACACAGGAAATACGGAGGGCAGGCGGGCTGGGGGCGCACGCTGACAGACGCAGGAAATACGGAGGGCAGGCGGGCTGGGGGCGCACGCTGACAGACGCAGGAAATACGGAGGGCAGGCGGGCTGGGGGCGCAGAATGCTCCCCCACCTGAGGACATCCCAGGCCAGCAGGCGGGGCCCCAGAGACCCAGAAGCACCACAACTCCCATGTGTCCACAAGGCACTTTCTTTATGCATTCAAAGCCACCTCGTTCACACCCAGGTTTGCTCAGACAGGGAGGCCCAGAGGCGACCCCGCTCTGGCATGGCTACCACCTGAGCGGCTGGCGGCCCTTGCCCAGCTCGGCCTCCACGTAGGCGTCATGCAGCACCTTCAGGTGCAGCAGCAGCTGCTCCAGGTTTTCACCAGTCAGCGCTGACAGCGCAATGACCTCCCGTCCCAAGTGATCCCGGAGCTGGGACAGATTGGCTCGGGCTTCAGGGAGGTCAATCTTATTTGCGATGATTGCGTGGGGCCTCTCAGACAGGCCCTCTTCATACATCTCCAGTTCATATTTTAAATCGTCAACTTGAGTCCATGGCTCAGGCTGAGAAAGATCCACCACGAACAAGAGAAAGCGGCAGCGCTCGATGTGCCTGAGGAAGGCGGACCCCAGACCCCTGTTCTGGTGGGCACCTCGTATGATGCCAGGGATGTCGGCCACTGCAGGGAAGACAGGGGCACACGAGGTGACCACTTGGCCCAGCCAGCACCAAGAGCGCCTTCCATCTCGAGTCTGGGAGGGAAGGCCTGGAGCCCACTGCGGAGGCTGGATTTCCTGAGTTCTAACACTTTCCTTTCAAGGACCAACTTGAACTGAAGCCATTTGATTTAGCACCTGGGTGATTCATTGGGCCAACTGACACCCGAGGAATTCAGTGCTGGGAGATGTCTGGGAGACCGGCATGGCGATGGGTCCATCTAGTAGGGAACATTTAATAGCTTCTCTTTCTGCTTCAAATAGGATTCAGAAAAGAGGAAAATGGCTGCCTGTACTCTACTAATAATCTGATTACTGACAGAAATTATTGTAGAGTCCTCTGCAGATAAAAAGTGCCGTCCAAATAACCTTACCAGCAGGCTTACTATTTTTAATGGGTACATTGTCTTCTGGGAAAAAGTTTTATTCTCTCAAACGGCACAAGGAAAGCT